AAAATGAACTACTAGACTAAGTATTCCCGAATAGAAGTAACCTAATTCTAAATATGGTTTGCATTGCTACAGTTAACCAGTGTTTTTTTAAAGTACACTGTAACCTCAGTATAATGAACACCGTTATAATGAACTTCCTGATATAATGAACACATAGCGTGTCTCCCGCTCACAACAAACCCAATGTATTATGTACTTCATTATAATGAACATTTCACTATAACAAACTAATTGTATGTCCCCCAAAGAGTTCGTTATAGCGAGGCTACAGTGTAGTTATTTTAATATTCCTCATATTGAGGCGATTGATAAAACTTACGCATTGAAACGCCAATTGGCCAAGACGTCGGACTTAAAGGACATCTCGTCTCGCGAGAGAACGGGTGGTTTCTACTTGGAAAGAGGCATATGTATCAAATTTCGACTAAAGTTTTTCACATTTCACTTTTATATCAAACACCTTATTTACATAACTGCAGATATCCTGTTCCGTGGTAGATGGAGCAAGTCTCGTGACAAATAATTTAAAAGGAGGGCTAGAATGAGCTACCTTGATAGTACAAGTATCATCGACTTTTGCTCTCCCAACTGTTGGTTGCTGGCGCCGTTTTCGTCGTCTTTGTGTACCATAGTAAATTCATTATTATAGTTGTTTGTTGATTAACTGATGACTTTACTCGACACTAAAGTGGCACATTCTTGGTTACGTCATGTCGGTGTGTTTTTGCAATAGGTGATTTTCCGTACAATTGCGAGATCTCGCGAGATGTATGAAAGACGCGCGTCGAACGTCTGCCGCAAAAGTCGAACGATTTGATTTTGAGCTAGAATTTCTTTATTTCGTAACTCACATCGATCGGCCGATCTTCGACAGAGGAATATTGCTTCCGAATACCCTTACATAATCGAAATTGCCCGTCATCAAATGTGAACAGCACATTATTATGCATGGAAATGCCCCCCAAAATACTTCGCGTTTGTCGAATCCCACGCGATGTTTGACGCCACTACGACGCTATGACCTTTGTTTGTCCTGTTTTTACGTTCGATTTCACGCATAACGCGTGATTCTCGCAGTGAGCGGAAAATGGTCTAATCAGCATAAACTGATTCAGTTTGCATGGACATCTGAGTTGGTGTTTTTTTTTCCAATCGTATGTCCGGATATAGGCCTACTTAAATTACAGTCTGTTTCACGTATTACTAATTCATCGACATTAGGTGCGATTTCGCGTTCAACAGCTGACGAGAATCAAATCGACATCATCCATCCATCCACGATTAAACTGATTAAGGGGTTAGCATATGTTCGCTGGTTCAATTTTTTGGCCTCAATTTACAGACTGAAACATACATTTTACCCATACATGTTATATACCATAATGAAGATCTTGTTTCAAATTTTGAAAATATGCCATTTTTTTGTAATTTGTGCGAATGCCAAGTCACGTGATACAGGATCAAGCGTAAATGAAGTAAAACGGTTAATGACGCAATTAATAATTTATTTGCAGCACGACTGAATATATTTTTTTATGTAAATATTATAGAGGAATGTTTCAGGTACAATGTTCTTCGTTTTTAGCAACTAAAATTCGTATTTATATAGCCCTATTTCAAATATATAATATCAGAGGTACATTACTTGGGGTTTGTAACTACGGTGACATGATACCAAGATCCCGTTACAATCTCGCTCTCGCATAAGCGTTCCAACTCAGAAAAATGCGAATGCGCATGCCCGAGGTAACTAGGAGACTGGGATGTCCAGGTGGATCAAAATAGCTGCCCAGGCACGATACGACGGATTACGAGAACTATATTTTCTGTACATTTTCGATGTATTACATATTTTACTAAGATAGTGGCAAGAAAAGTTTTATTTTTTCATTACAAACCTTGAACATTGATATATATCATGTCAGAAGGTCGTAGCCTCAGTCTCGCTATCTACGAGATGAGACTTCAATGGGATCTTGACATGATGTCACCATACAGTACTATGCAATCCTGCAAATCTTTATTTGTCACTGATTTAAGTTCTAATACCTCACGTCTTAATGATTTCAACTCCTTTGCCATAACAGATACGTCCACATGTGTTATATCGATTGGGGGTAACTTGGTCAAACCCTTTGCCACGAAACAAGGTTAATTTTCTTCATCAGTCTCATGAATGAGCTTTATCGTATCAAGCACATTAATAGACCGTTTGTTGTGTCCTTGTCGTTTAATAATTCTCGAAGTGGAACCATCACAACATAGATCAAATAATGAAATCAATATCATCGTCTTCAAAGTGATCAACAAATAGCTTAGGTAAAATGTCCGTCGGTAAAATTTTTCATATGGGATTTCGAGAGACTTAACATGAATCGTTATGGCATTCATACGAACAACACCTTACCATGTTTCAACTTTTAAATTGTCAGTTAACAAGGTCTTTCATAGTAGCACTTCTATGGGACGTACTAGAAATGAATGGGTTCAAGTATCAGT